GAGTGTTCTCGGTGGTCAGGAACAAATGTAATCGCATGGCAGGATGCTGTAAAAGGACCAAACTTCAGCCAGAGAACAACTGAGATAATCCATCCACAATACGAGGTTAGTCATTCATATACTGCTGCATGGGCTGGGCTGTAGTTACATCCTAAGGTTTTAAAAACTGAGCTTAAATAAATGATTAGCGGTAATAAAAGCCGAGGGAGGTCAACAGTGATCACTGACTGTTTTAGGAGCTTTTTGAGATTAAATAGAAGAAAATACAAAACATTAAACATGTTAACAACACAAAAGCCATATTAAACGCAGACTACTTTAGACCCGGAAGTAGGATTCGTCGCGTCATCACTGAACAACCGGATTAGCTTAACAACAACAACAACAAAAAGGCGCTCTCTCACCCAGGAAACACACAGTCGCAGAGAGCGTCACCCTGTAACCATGGCAACCATAACGCTGCCGCCTGGAACAACAGAACATAGCTGTCAAACAAAACTCAAACAGTCCTGACGCGCGACAATAGGAAACAGGAAAATACCGCCGTGTAATCCATTTATTTCAACAAAGTAACTGTATTCTAAATACCACCTTTTAAAATGGTAACTGTAACAGAATACAGTTACTCATATTTTGTATTTTAAATACGTATTTTTCGTCTGCATAGTTCAGGTGGCCGTAATAAGTGGCTAATAGCACCATCCAGCTTTGTTCAGAAGAGAGCAACACTCCAAAACAGGAATGCGCACATCCAAGATGGATGCAGCACAAGAGCAGCAAAGCAGAAGGCATCTAAAAAGGTCTCCATTGTATAAAATGGGATTTATTCTCTGCATGAACAAAGTCGGTGAAGCAAACATTTTGCTGACTACAGGATGCACAGCATTAGACAAGTTGCATATTTTCACTGGTGCTGTGAGACATAAAACTAGACCAAAACAAAACACTAAGCTGAAGTTCAATTCTAAGCTCTATCATAACATAATATTTTTACAATTAACTTTTTTAATGATAACACTTTTACGAATATATTTCATGTTGTGTATTTTAGATTAGATAAATATTGACTTAAAATATATTTTTTAAAAGTTCATTGTGTAGCTTTAGTAATTGTTATCACAGCATTAAATATAGTAAAAGAGTGAAATGCTTTCTATGGCTCAGGGGGAAAACTAATGGGTCTTGCTGTTTTCCAAATGAAAAACTAAATAAACTGACAGAAAGGGGGGAATACATAGTCCTGGGTGCTCTTGGTGCAAATGATCTTTCTTCTTCTTGCTCAGTTAAATCTCACTAACTCTATTGATCGTCCTTCATCTGAAAATAAGTGGCTGAGGCGAGAGAGCCTCCACCATGTTGTGCTGCTCTCGCATCTGTGTGTGTTGCCGATCGACTGCCTACAGCTGCAGTAATAGTATGAATGTGACAGACCACTCCTGGCCATGTTGGCTCCATTCCCCGGTGACTGGACTTTATTTTGATTACAGTCCTTTCGAGACTAAGATCAACTCGGCGAACACTCTGTCATGACTTCTCAAGGGCACTTTAATGAGGTAGGAAGAAATTAGCGACTGCATAAGTATCCATTTTTTCCTCACGATGGATGTGTGATAAGAGAGAAAGTGTCTTACAGTTGTCTGCCCCTGAAACCTTTGACTCTTAAGTGTAAGGTATTCAGTTGCTCTTAGGAAGTGAACATCACTCTAAAAGCCAATAAGCCTGACAACATGCCAACTGGATGAGGAAAGTGCTTTTGGAAGGCTGACAAAAGGGATGCCACAGTGGGCAGCTGAAGCAGCCTTTTGCGGTTCTGTCCAGTTGGGTGATGGCTGATTATTCGCATAAAAACCATGAGACATATATGTTGCTGCAATCTTTAAAAGCTGATGAGCATTATCATTGATTCAAAGTGTGTTTCAGTATGTCACTGTGGCTGTTATCCTTTTGAAAAATGCTGCCTAAACAAGTTCACAACTGGGAGAAGAAAACAGTTTTTGGAAGTAAGAAAGTGGCGCAAAAATGAGCCAAACAGAAAACTCACAAAATCCAGCCTTTCAAAAACCCACAAATTGAGTTTCATAGTAAAACTTCTCATTGAAGCTGCTTCTGTGGAGTATACTATATGTTCCCACAGACAACTCTCAGCTGACCCTGAATCGAGGTGAATCCACCTGTACATTCACTGTGGGTATGTCGCCAAAACTGAGCACGCTATTAAAGAAAGCCTCAGCTGCACACCTCAGCTCTGATGCGTCATGATGCTGCTTTTCTCCCTGTCATTACTGAGAGGGAGGATTATCTGCCTTTAGCTTATAGGAAAGTTCTATTTATTTATTTACTAAGCAATTGCAGCTACAGGCTTAAAATGCAGCACTATAGACAAAAGCTCTGCTCTGAAACACTTTTGCAACACGCTGTTTCCAAGACTGTGAAAAAATGCGTGGTTTTATGGTCATTGTAAGTATTCTTTAATAGCCCTCTATTTGGATATATCAATATTAAATATGAAGCAAAAATTACATTTTATGTTATTTTATCCAAAAATAACCTTGTTGCTATATTTTTTTTTAGAAACCAAAAGCAAAATATGAATACATTCCTTTGTGCTATCATCTTCTATTCATAGTATAAATAAATAAATAAATCTTGCTTGGCTCTATGCCTCAGATGTAATGGTCAGTATGTGAGTCACAAACAGATCAAAAAGCCAGGAAATGTGTTATGCTGCAGGAGTGGTTTAATAATTTCCTGTGTATGTTTTGATGTGATCTGTGTGATCCATTTAAAAAATATTTATTATTTGACTTACTAGTACTGCATATTATTTCATGTTACTCAATGATGGCATGCCATAATATACGGATAATTTCTTTTTCCAGTATTGCTTCAGTTCCTTGCTGATATGAACCTTCTGTATATCTCTGACTTGTTCAGGAGAGTGTTCTTGTTCAAAATGCACTTTGCACCTTGTATGGATGGATGATACATTAGCAAAGGTTGTAGATGGAGTTTGGGGACTGTGGGGGTTTAAGAGCAGCTTCATCCATTAGCTTAATGTGTTCTTTTCCACTCAATACCTAATATCCTTAATGCTCTAATGACTACTTTGTCATGTGCTCTTCTGTTTTCACCTTGGAAGATAAAACAGAACACATCACACTGTGTTAGAGGTGTTTCTGCTTAGTAAACAGTAGCACATGATCCCTTTGTCATGCTTCAAAGTACTCCGAAAATAAAAGACTGCAGGCTCACTAAAGATGCTAAAGCGGGCTGTGTCATTGCCTCTAAAAAGTGGATTTACATATAACGTGTCACTGAACCTTCTGGCTTCTTCTGCATCCACAGAAGCATATGCCTCACAGCTGTCAATGCAGCTGGAAGGTCTAGAGCTCACTGCTCCAGGTTGTAAATATGCAAATGTCTTGATTAGCCATGCAAGGCTTAGAGATCTCACATATTAAGAGCAAAAAATATATATCTTGCTGAACCCTAGAATGTCACATACACAACATTATTTTTTTACCAGACATGAATGAATAAGCTCAATAATATCACTTCAGAAATGACATGCTCCAAGCATAGCTGTGTTTACATAGGACTCGTGTCACCTGGAGACCTCCAGTAATTTGTAAATTACTTCAGCGGTCTCACCAAACACCCAGATCCTGTGATAGCCTTAGTCTAGCTACATGATTCTGAATTTCAGTGATTTCATGGTGGGTGGGTTTTATACACTTTTCTTTTGCCTTCTAGCTGTGTTGGAAATTTTAAGTAAATACATAAATTTTAGACAGCATTCAGTGTTCAAAAATTAACAAGCACATGGCGCATGGAGACCCAGTTTACAGAAAGCCCAAGCTTAAATCCAACAGAAGAATAAAATCTTAAAAGTTGAGGAGATGGATGTCATGCATGACAGTAACAGGCTCAAATTTGTCACCATATCTTCACTCTGCTTATGGCGTGCAAATGTGCTGCAGGAAACACAGATGCAGGAGTGGTGAAAGTATGAAATAAATCCCATGCACATATCACATCTACTGAAAACACTAGTAGTCCTGAGCAAATAAGGCTTTAGATGATTGTTTCTATTTGATTTTTTATGGCTCAACGGCTTTTCTTTAGTTATTTATTCCTTTTTTTCTTTTGTCCAATCACTGACTCAAAAGATTCAATTGACATTTGTTCAGTTCATTTAGAAAACCATGATGAATATGGGATATGGTATTTTAGCAACTTTGCACTAAAACTAAGTAAAGTATGCTGGCATGCAAGTAGACTATTTAGCTACACGTATTCACAGCAGCTGCATCCGTACACATAGTGTTATGTCTGAAAGTAATGACTGTCATTAGTTCAGCCTCTCATCATAACCCAATGCTCCAGGTGGGAGAGAAATGGGCCCCAAACATTTTTTAATCCCTTCAGGGGAATTCACTCTCAGAAACCTCATTAAACCACTTCATCTGTTACTGCTGCCACCTTCAAAACATGTGAGGGCAGGAAGATTTTCCTTGGATAAGCATCAAAGATTGTTGTACAGCTCTAGGCAAGTGTTAGATTCAAACAACGCTCATGTTTTAATAAGGTGGAAAAACACCCCCGCCACCACCTACATAAGTATGTCTCTTGACCGTGCCGCCTGAGATTAAACTTCGGGCTGTTAATGCTCCTAAGGTCCATTTTCTTTTCCATATGTAAATCAATGAATTGTTTTATTTGGTCTGAAATCAGGGATCTCTTACACTGCTTCACTTGCTCCAGGTAATGGACAGCCATCCACAGTGTGCTTTGTGTGTCTGTGTGTGAGTCCTCGCTCTAGAAAGCCTAAAATCTCAGCAGCCGCAGAGAGAGAGAGAAAAAAAAATTCCCCTAGAGATGAAGAAGGAGCAGCTGAGACTAATTTGTCAGATTACCTGGCAGCTGGGGAAAAGTAGCACCCCAAATAACCTAAGAGTTTTGCTGTGTAATTGCTTTCATTTGCAATTCATATTTGTGTGTGTGTGTGTGTGTGCGTGTGTGCGTGCGATTGCAGTGTGGGATAATGCACTTCAAGATGAAAGCACCAGGGATACTTGTAATGACAAGGTGAGATTCATTTTATAGACTTCCAAGAACTCAGAAAAATGAAAGACATTTCGAGATGTGGATTTAAGAATTCAATCATACAACTACAACTGCATAGGGGCCCAATTAGCCCCGTGCAATTTGGACTCAATGCCATCCTGACACAAGCCATGCACGCCCACACAGTTCAGATGCAGAGTTGTGAGAAGGTTAAATATACTCATCATGGGACAAATGTCATGGTAATTTTGTGCTTTTAATGAGTTCTTTTTCCAGGGTGGAATGATTGTACAGTACACATCTTTAATTATTTTAAAAACACAAGAACTGGGTGCACAACTGGGTGGTTTGAAGTTGTTGTGGATTTTCTCTAACCAACACAGGGTCAAATATATACACACATGCTCCAATACATCCTCCCATAATTGGTTAAATGTACCTTAGCTTTTTAGACCTCAACTATTTTATTTCTTTTTATTTCGACAGGCTTTTGGTATAATGCTGCCTCAATATTTTAACAGTCTTCTTGGCAGAAGTGGCAGAGATGATTTAAACTGGTTGTTTTCCTGATATGAACCAAGCTTTTAAGCCTAGTCCAGAAATGTTCGATACGTCTGTGGTTAGGGATTTGGGAAGATCATTCCAGAAGTTCAGTGTTAGCCTGCTTTATCCATTCCAAAATCAACTTTGTGTAACCGTGTAGCAGTATAACTGCAGATAATGCTGGTTTCTGTGTGCCCAATTTCTTCTGTCGTGATCAGCACATATTAAAAACACACTGTGTTCAGAAGATTCAAACAGGTCAAGCTAAATCTAATAAAAGGTTTAACATTTCTGGCTGCGCATCAAAAAGTATTTTATTCTTCTCTGTTCGTTCTCATACTTAACACAAAAGTATGCCCATGAATCAGTTCAGATTGTTTTGCCATGAAACCCATCAGAATCATAACAGACAGTGAAAGTACTCTGTATAAAATGTAACAGTTAGAGGGTGCATTTTATAGGTTCCTCCTCTCATCCCTACATTATACAACACAGACACTCAGTCTTATCTGCCCACTCACTGGTCTGGTAAAACTAAAGCTACTAACAATACATCCAAGATGATTAGGGCTGTAATGTAGTCCATTCATTCGGTCAATAAGCCTACTTCAGTCTGACTTAAACTGAGTAATCTAATCTAATCCCTTTCAAGCAACCGTAGATATCATCCTATGAAAGCAAAGTCTTGCAAATTTACCGGATTGTAACACTATATCAGTTACTCAAAATCCCCTATTTGACTTATTTTCATGCTATGCAAAGATTGCTGAGTGATTCAGTTAGCATGATTCAAAAATTAATGTCATTAAGTTGAGTCTGAAGTGACAAAGTACTTTTTTTTTCATTTTTTTTTTTCATGTAAAATAGCATATTGTGACCGAACAAAGGAAACTGGATGCAGGAAAATTGTATACTGTACAAGTGACACTTGATAGATTAAAATGGGGATATTTGTACTACTTTAGAATCTGTCATTCCCTCCTTGTTCCCATCACCTAGTTTCCACCTGAGCACAAGTCCCCAACTCATTAATCAGCTCCCTGTTATTTTGCATATGCCCTATAGCCACAACTCCTTGTCTGTTGTGCTGCCTCAGCTATACTGCAGCATTCTTGTTGACTTGTTTTCCTGCAGCTTGTTTTTGTCCTTTGCTTGCCCTTTTAAGTTTCTGTCTGCTTTTGAACAACGTTGCCTGTTCTGGCTGACTGCCCTTTTGTTGACATCTTCCATGGTTTTTTTGGTTTGTTTGTTTGTTTGTTTGTTTGGGGGTTTTTTTTGACCACATAAGCCTTCCCTTTACCTGCTGAGCCATGCCAAAGATTTTTAAAACTGAACAGTGGTGAACAGCAGACTGATAAAAATGAAAACTGTTGAAAGCACCCATTAATTTAACCCCATTTGTACTCTGATATTTCTAAATATCCATCCATCCATCCATCCACACATTCTCTTCCACTTATCCTTATCAGGGTTGCGAGGGGGCTAGAGCCTATCCCAGCTAACATAGGACAAGAAGCACGGTACACCCTGGACAGGTCACCAGCCTGACGCAGAGCTAACACAGAGAGAAAGACAACCATTCACACTCACATTCACACCTATGGGCAATTTAGATTCACTAAATATTTCTAAATACTTTGCAGAAAAAGCATTGTCTTTTTTCAAAATTGTTACTGCCTTATTTACTCCCTTGGTATGCTGATATTTTATCTCCATTAACAAGCAGCCAGTTTTCTAGCAGTAAATCTAGCAATCTCAAAGCATTTCTATAAGCCCTGAAGGAAAAAAGCTAGCAACACAGTAGCACTTTCTATAGAGAAGTAAGGAATATCCTGAGAGTTTTCTGAATCATTTGTGTCAAACTCTGATAAGGAGGGCTGTTCAACCCGAAAGCATGGTTGTTCAAAGGAAATTGAATCTATTTGACTACTTTGGAATATGTGGTCCTTGAAATATTACATTTGTCATGAGCAAATCAAGCTTGAAATTAAATTTGGTCAGCTCCAATACCACAAAGAGTGGGCAATAGGAGAGGCGAGTATGCTACATATGGTCTGGATTAATCCTAATCCCCAGTTTTATAAAACAATTCACTTTTAAAACTTGTAGGAGTTAAGTTTGTTTTTTATACTCAAGATCCCTCCCTTTAAATGTACTTGATGTAGTGAGCTCAGTATGTGCAGTGAGGCTGTGTGGAGCTTGCTGGGTCTTGGGTACAATACTGTTACCTTTTGTCCTCAAGGGGATCCACAGATAATCACTAGGTCACTGTAATGGCAGCGTCTGATCTATCTGGTCTTTCTTCTTCTTCACAGCAACATTGGCAGAGTGCATAGACAAGAGACAAGCTTCTGTCTCCCACAACAACATGAATCTTTACCAGCTTTTAAAAGCAGCAGTGAAATCCTCTTTCATATTTACACCTAAAAAAGGTTGGATGAGATTGCTGTCTTATCGCAGCCAATACCTCTCTTTCTCACTTCAGACACCCACAAGCGTGGACGGAGACATAACCACTCGGCCAATCTTAAATCCTTTGTATAGAAAGTGTATTTGTATTTTATCCAAGATGATATCATCCCCCTGAGACAATCAATTTATAGAGAGATTCAATGCTGTGCACAATCCATAACAATGGGGAGCACACTGCTATCATTACTACAAAAATACACAAGTGCACTGTAATTAAAAAAAAAAAAAAAAAACAAGGTGGAGAAAAAAACAAAGCAAAATGATTGACTAAAGGGTTAGGAACTTGTCAGATATGTACACAGAATTAACTCTCACATTAGCTCTCTCAGTGGCAGCTTCTGTCACTTGCAGTTTTCCCTTGATGCTCAAACGGCAGGAAGAACCTCCAACTGTTTATTTTCAAGCTGCAGTCAAAGGCCCTGTGTGCCTTTGGTGTCAAGCAGGCAATCAAAAGCATGGGTATTATAGTCTGTCTGCCCATCTGTGTGAACCATCTGTAACATCAAATTCACCCTGCATTAGCATTCTAACTCCTGCCGTGGTTTGGCTCTGAATTACAGGGTGCTTTCTCTCATATAAAGTAATAGCATAGCATTAGTAAAAATAAATAAATAAATAAATAAAAGAAATTAAAACGGGGTATTAATTGAGTTTTGGCCACTTGGAAGCAGTAGAAAAATCTGTGCCACAACACTGATATGGACTGAAGTGTCTCAAATGGCCACTTGAGGCCCAAAATATGAGGTAATGCTCATAGAGGCCCCACCCAAGTGGAAATGCAAAATGTTGAAATAAATGCATTTGCAGTTAATTTAACAGAAAAACCTCCATTTGTGAAAACAGACAGATGGTGAACTTTGATAAAAATTCACTCCTTTTAAATTTTATGACTTCATTATAATAGATAATGAAGTCTGTGGTTACCTAAGTAGCTAACTCATGAATTCAGTGTCATCTGATCGTGGCAAAACAAACAAACAAACCGACAGAAAATTAAACAGGAGATTGTTTTGTTTTTTTTTAAGGTCATTCTTCGTTTTTACCTTGCAAATGGCACCCATTCACTCTGCTTTAACCTCTGTTTTGGGTCTCCACAGACCCCTGAGAGAACTATAAAGACCTTAAATTTTACCTTCTTTATCCTGAACTTAGCTTGGCTAACCCTGGGCATGTGTGTTTTTTCGTTCTTAGGATGATTTTTTTTTAATTTTTTTTTTTTTTTTGTTTAAAAGCTTTTTGAACAACTGCACAGTGTGGGATGTCAGGCTACAAAAATAAATGTGACCTAAGGCAGCTCTGGATAATGTCTCTTCAAAGTGAGGCATACAGTGTAAACAGCATATTTACTCCCACAAAGTTGTTTTTGGTAGCCTACAAAGCCAAACTATCCCAACATGCTTTTTTAGGCATTTGATTACACTGTTAGCAGATTTTACAGGATATAATGCTCTCTGTTTCCAAAAAGTCTGTTTGAAGCATTCAAAAACCAGTTTTCCCTAGTTCATAAATGTACCATTTAGTAAAGAAATTGAGAAAAATACTGCAGATATGAAGCCAACAGAAGTGCAGTCATGTTTCAAACGTATCCTAACTTACAATTCATCTGAGTATCCCTTTGTTGTGTGAAGAGTTGATGTAAGTCATCTGATTGACCAAGCCCTGGCTCACTGCTATATATTGCTTCAAGTGTAAAACTCACTCATTCTGAATGTCAGGTTCCAATTTAGTTTATGTCAAGGTTATTAACTCTCAACTGGAATATGTCCAGAGTTCATTCATTCATTCTGTGTGGGTGCTGCCTGCACTAAGTATGACATCCTGTACATGTAGCATATGTTGAAAAAGACTTATCAGAAAGGAGTCAGCAGGCAGGAGTCTATCTGAAAACACCAGCACACAGATGCAGAAAGGGATTCCTTAACATTGATTAAAAACCATGAAAATTTTGCTGTGGTTTATAACACTGGACAATTTTATGAGTCTTAAAAATTATACTATCAGAAATATAGAGACTGTGCAGTTGGGTAAATTTATGAGAGCTCAATTTTATGACTGCAGGCATTGTTTTTCTCACCATAGCTGAGCTCTGCACAGAGGATAACCATCCACAGGCTCGACTTGAGTTTTAGTTCTAGCTGTCTATGTGTCAGCGTTAGTTAAATGTTCTTCTGATTCTTCAGAGACTCGAACAGTGCGGCCTGACAGGAGGTGACCAGTGACCTTCCCGTACACACGACGATCCTACTTCACAAGAACAGCCTCTCTAACTTTGGAAGGACATGACAGCCTCTTGCTGTGCTTTGGTTGGATCAGTTTCACAAATGACACATATCACATCATTCCTGGGGCGGCTGCGGTTGGGGCGGCAGAGCAGGTCGTCTAGTAATCGGGAAGGTAGGTGGTTTGACCAAAGTATGCTGAACAAGATGCCGAACTCCATTTGCTCCCGATGCGTTCATTGGAGCGTGAAGGTGTGAATGTTTGATAGAGAAAAAACGTGCTGGTATGATTGTGGGTGTGAATGGGTGAATGTGACTTGTAGCATAAAGCATTTTGAGTGCTCAAGCAAAGTAGAAAATTGCTGTGTGAGAACCAGTCGCTTTACCATCATAGTTTTCAAAAAATAACTGAATCTCCTTTCCTTTTCTGGAAGATGCATGGGCGCTCTTTCCTGTGTTTGAGTTTGTTTTTCTAGTGCTGATGCACATTCACCGTGCTGTCTTTGACTCTGCTAATCTGTCTCTGTTCAGGCGTCCCTTCTCCTTCGTCACGGCATCAATCAAGCAAACAGCAGAGTCCTCAGTTGTGGGTTGTAACTGGTGGTTCACTGACAGTTCAGGAAGCTTATTTCCTCCCAGAGGTGACATACACTGTAATGTTCTCTCCCATCTCCCATTTCCTTCTGTTGATGAGTTTCCATCTAAGCCTGCAGCAGCAGAAACAAAGACAGCTTCACTCCACATATCTTCATCTAAACCTGGGTTACTACGGCTGATGATGCTGAATCCTCAAGTCAAGCATTTAAACCTTAATTTGATAAAAACATCATTCAACACATAAAATCCATGCTCTATAAATATCTTTTTATTTTTTTCACCTGCTAATTTTCTTGGCATTTTTCAAAAGCCAAGTATGTTTCCTCAAAATGTTCCTCTACAGATCTAACAAGTGAACCCTAAGTGGCATAATGGCCATAAATGGTCCTCCATTACATTCAGCAACTTCAGAAACTCTGCACCCTTTTCATCCTCATTAAAGCAGCTTCTGAAAGGGATGATGAATATCATCAAAACAATTTTATGTCTGGTCCCCCGCGGAAAAGATGAAGCCCTTCCTTGTGAACTCAAAGCACAAACATCAGAGGCCAGCTAGAAGATTTTCTTTTCATCCTCATAATGCAACTTGGTCAGACTTTAATATTTGATGCCAACTGAAATGTGACTATTGTTGTCCAAAGAACACATATGGATGATTAAAGCAGTAATGATGCTTAGAATAAATGCTTGGTAATATGTTCAGCAGCTGTGTGGCCATAACAGTTTTCCCCCTTTCAAAACCATAATAATGGGCTTCAACATCTACAGCAGTGCCATGATGGATTTTACAATAAAGTGTTTTTCACGTTGTTTTATGTTTATGACCAGCTATTGATATATTGTCCATTTTTAGAGGGCAGCTCATTGTTTCTACACAAAATAACAAACAGTAAATCGTGAACAGAGGGCTTATGTTGGACAGTGCATTTTTCAGGCAATCAGTCAGCATCAACAAAATGATGAGAAAAATGACTCCAAATGTTACACTTCTTCTCATCCTCTTCATCTTGTTGCAGGAAATAAGGCCATATTATTAGCACCACTGTTAACACAGTTTTATGAGTATTTAAACTCACTAATAATTAAATACTCCTGCATTTCCTTGGTAACATGGCACACAGTATTGCAATTCCAAATTTTGCTTTATTTGGCCAAAAGAGGTTGATATTCAGTCTTCTACTCAGAATCCCTATTTGGGGTTTTACTTGCAGATGGCACGCTATTATGTTGGTTGTATTTGTGGCTTGAGCCATCCAGTAGCTCATAAACAGAGTTAAGTCTCAAATTACTTGTCTTAGAATTGGCTGGTCAACGCTACACCAAACCTCCACTCAAGTGGACTCATAGATGAATTACCCTGCTGATGAATTGAATCTATGCAGACAACATGTTACCCTTTACCCTATTTCTGTGGACTACTTGTTTGTTCCTACACAGCATATTTTCCTTCCACCATTCATCCATCGCCTTCTGCTTATCAAGTTAAGGGTTCCTGGAGCATGCTGGAGCCTATTCCAGCTACCATAGGGCCATGAGACAGGGTATTCCCCAGACAAGTCGCCAGCCTCCTCCTTTCAAAGAAAAAATCAAACTACCACAGAAAACTCCTATTTTCTGTGAGCGCAGCTGCAGCTGTTCTACTTGACTGTGTTGGAGATAATGGTATTGCTTCTAGTTGGATTTTATCTGCCTTTTCTGTTGAACACATGATGTTATTGACATTTCTAGCTATGTCGTAACTAGCCTATTTGAACTTGTTATTTTCTCAGTAATGGCAGATGTGTTCACCACAAGGAGGGGGTCCAATCCAACACACAGTCAGCACAGCCATTACATTGTGCCCTCACACAAGAAGTATATGTATTTGGTGTCATACTTATAAACTCAAATACAACGGTGCCTTCCCATGGGCCATAGTTAATAAATCGTTAGTTCATTGATAATTTGAAAAGTAAATATAAAGTTTTTCAGGTGAAGTAAGTGAGCTTTTCATGGCAACATAGCACAAAATAAGAATGATATCTTTAGTAGAAAAGCTGTAGATTCACAACAATGACTTGGAAATAATCTTAGAGAGGGGTTTTTTTGTTTGTTTTTTACTTTGAGAAGGTGCTTTTTAATTAGCTGTACACATAATCTGCTCCTGAGGGTCTTTTTGGTGATAGTAATTCTTTGGTCACTCATGCAGTTCAATTTTAACTGGCTGAATTTCCTTTGAGGTACACTTTGTGTTAAACTGTCTAGTGGAAAACGAAGACAAAAGGAAAACCCAATGTTGTGAAACATCATCATGAAATATATATAAACGCACACATTTTCATTGATTTAAGGTTGCACTTAAACATTCGTTCGTGTGTGTGTGTATATATAATTTCATGAAAGAGGATTTAGGAAAAAATGGACAAGGGAGAATTTCAACAAGTCAAGAGTTATGGGCACTAGAATATGCAGAAAGCCCCAGTTAATAATGAATGAAGCACCTTAACTGATGGGCATTGAAATATGGCAGCAACTTTCTCCTCCATCAAGTCCTTGGTTCAATAAACCAGTCATAAAATCCTACTTATATGGACCGCATAAATAGTTTCCAATTCTACTATAAATAATCTCAAAGATGAAACATAGATTAAGCATCACAAATCACAACAGGGAATAAACAGACAAATCTGGATGCTTCTAATAATTTTAAATCCAAATTATATTCAGACTAAGATGTCAAGTAGAAAAATTTTATTAGAATTTTTACAGAATGTAAAATCATTTTAATTAACCAGTTATTTATATATTAAAGTTTAAAAACAGATACAGATGTGCCCCATCATACAACCAAACCATTACTTGGGCTCATCCCTCCCATACAGCAGCAGCATGAGGGATTCAGTAGTATTGTCATGCAGCTTGACATTCCTTCAATACCATTAGTTGGCTGACTACAGCTGCAGTACAGTAACGGATCCTACACTGGATACTGACTCCGACATGTACAGAAAAAGAAGAGAAAAAACACATTTGTTGTCCCAGGAGGTCTTGGTTTGAATGACATCATACACACAAAAAAAGGCATTGATTAAAGCCAGGCACCTATTTGTGGGTAAAAGTGTGTGAGGTCTAATTAAAAACAACACTGATTTGAGATTAGAAAAAAAAAATTCTAATTATGCATTACAGTAAAGAATCAAAACCTTACAAAAAATAAAGACTTTGACTAATTAAGAGCCCAGAACTGTATACAAATTGGCAGTAACCAGAAACACTGGTTAATTCATGGCATTGAATAAAACAATACATACATATAAACATGAGAACAGTTATTTTACATTAGCAACCTGCTGTAATGCACTTAAAGAAAAAGAGAGAACCTGCTTCCAGAGTGATCACAAAGTAACTCCAAACACTGATGGGCAGTTTTGCTTTTGTGGTCTCACTGTATGTGAAAGGCCACGTATTAAAGCCCACAAAGAAAGGAGACAAGCTGAACCGTCACCCACCCATGAATGCAGAAAAAAAGGGAGTAAATTTAAATGTCACTTTACCAAGTAGAAAATTCTTCATTTCACAGGTGTTTTTCCCATCATAGGAGACTGTCAATTGAGCTGCTACATTGCATATAAATGTATGGCAGCTGCAATTATTTTTTAAAGGGGGAACAAAAAGAAATGCATATTAAAAGGGCCAGATGTATTGGCCAGGCAATTAGAGTGTGTAAACTCTATGGATATGGTGTTGTTTTTCAAACACTTATGAACCACTTGCAAGACTGATTTCAACTGTTCTTGAAGGTTTTATACGTTAGGAAGGTTTACAAGAAACATTCGAAAACACCCAGCAGATGTTATCTCTCTATCCAAATGCAAATTTAAAGGGGCCTCAAAGTTTCGATGCATCCCAAAAGTATATCCCAAAATGTTGAATCTCTTCATCTGGACTTGGCGTCTTCAGCGGGACAAACGTTTTGCCAATCATCCAAGTGACTTCTTTAGTCTCAGCTGACTGTAGGATTCCCCAACCCTAAACAGTACATTTGCACAATGACTGAAACCAGCCCACTGAAACCAGCCCACTGAAAAGGGAAAGACCATCTCTGAATTGAGGAGGAGGCCTAAGGGTACATCTTTCACCATCTTACAATGCTGTGATTGGAGCCATTTCCCAACTCTCTGTGAATGGTACTCAGTGATCAGTGGTTGTTGATCAATGGTCATGACAATTTGCATATTAATGATCAAATAACTAACCTCAGAGTTCATTGTTCATTCGGCGGGCTGGTTTCAATCATTATGCAAATGTACTGTTTATGAGGTTGGGAAACCTGCAGTCAGCTGACACCGAAAAAGTCACTTGGTTGAGTGATGAAACATTTCTGCCACTAAAAACGCTACACCCAGATGAACAGAATCAACAGGGGGGGTCTCAAAGTCCTTTATCAGTTCTTCATCCCATTCCTGGGGTTGTTCAATCAAACTGCTATATAAAAAGGTCCCAACGCTCCACATTTAGTCAATCTGAGATTCGATATATGAAAGTTCCTCAGGGTCAGTAATGTACAACATAGCCCTCAAGAATCACAGTATGACATGCCACATGACATGTTAGTGGGGTTTCCTTATCACTATTGGCAACATTTTTCTAAAAAAAGAAAAAGAAAAAACAAATCCTGTTTAGTGACCACCATGTCCATTTCCTCTGGGGCACAGTGAGCTGTGGTGGGTGCCAGTAGGCAGCAGCTGCAGCAGCAGTGCCTTCGCTACCTGGACACATCTGGGATGAGTCTTTTAAACCACTGGCCCACAGCCACATCTACTCTCAGCACTAATGTGACCCCAATCAGCAGGAACACGCTGCTCACCAGGAACCCTGAGGCCTCAAACATTAACCTGAAAGGACAAAACAGAAGAGACACAAAGGTTTAAACAAGTCCAAATTAAGCTCCAGCAACTCCTTCGGACATTAAATAGATCATAAGATAAAAAGAACCAAGACTATTACTTTTTCTCCAAGATCTACCAAGTTTATTTAAATTACCTATATCCTTTTAATATTTTCAAGCCACCAACTTATTATAAAAAAACAAAAAAACAAACAGGACACCACATTCAAAACCCAGATGTAAATGTGTGGATATCACAGTAGAAAAATGGACCGGCATTCAACACTGTGTGTTCACTGAAAGTTCAGAATCAGCGGTGATCCTGTATCCATATCCTCAAAAAGCCTTTACTGTCAGTGAGTTTGTATGAGCTGGAAAATCCATTCAGGCACTTACTTCGGTGCGAAAACCTTCCACACCATTAGGTGTCTCCTGAGTATAGCAGCTGCACAGACTGAGGCAAAGACCTGTGAAGTGAGCAGACAGACTGAGTGGTGTGATGTGATACTGCTACTCATAAGTGTAACAGAACTAAATAAAAAATAAAATTAAATAAATTTAAAAAAAAAGACAAGAAAGAAATGCAACAGAAATCTGCTACTGAGGACAGACTTTCCCAGCTCACATATGCCTTAAATGGATGTGAGAAAAAAATAATTCTAGGTCTGTGGACATACCTGTGCTCCGTGAATAAGGAGGTAGCGTGTTGAGAGTTGCAGAAGAGCAGAGCTGAACAGCTGAGGGTTTTCTCTCAGCCTCATCTCCATCACAGCATCCTCTCCGTCGTCCCCACAGGCTCGTCCTCTGCTCCCACGCACCTCGCAAACCAGGGGCCAGAACAGTAGCAATGGACAACTCACTGAAGACAAAGAGAAATAACAACAACAACAAATCATCGTTTCACAAGCTCACAATTCATTTTAAGCACTGAAGAGACGGTTTCAAAGCTGCTTTATTTAACTTAACTGCTTTTGAGAATTTTTTTTATCATTCTCTTGAATCACATAACTTTTAAGTTTTTGTTTATCATTTAAAACTGAAATGTGTAACAAACTACAAATATGACTAAATAAAAAGGACTGAGTGTCATACAGGTTCACTGATATTTTATATATTTTCGATTATACTGTTAAGGTTTAAACAGGTAAAATGATGATTCTTTTCCTGCTTTTCACAAATTAATGAAATTAATCCCATTAGTTTTACAGAATAACCTTCTTTGCCTAATGGATGATGACTTCTTTCCTTTTCTTTGAACAATAACATTTTTTTTTTTTGCTTCTCTGGTTCCTACCTGCAAAAAGAATGTGTGAAGCAAAAGTATTAAGGGTAACCAGTGAGGCAGGGAGTATGGTCCCTGTGTGTCCTTCAGGAAATCCCACAAAGGCAGCACCCCACTGGATAGAGGGGAAGGTGGGTAAATGACCTGTAGCGTGGAAGAACTGCGTGGCAGCCAGGGACCAGAGCACTACTGGGGTCCAAGGCACATTAAACCCACCTGAGGGGGGAGAATGAGAAGTCAGTGAGCTGATTAAGACCTGGAACCTGATAGGCTTAAAAATAGATTAATTAAAAGATGCGATGCAAAAATCTTACCAGAATACTTTCCATGCAGGCCACTAAGCGTAGTAGACGAGGCGTGAATGTGCAACAGAGCTCCCGTTTCTAGTAGCAGCAGGAGGAAAGACAGAGCCATGCCCTCTGGGTGCAACAGCAGCAGACCAATTCCCAGCAACCCACTAAACAACAGCAAAGGAGCAGAATAGACTGTTCCAAGTCCGTAGGCCTCCACAGCAGGCCTGTTGTCCACTTCGCTGGCCCCGCTCAGGTCGCCATCATCTAGGGAACGACGCATGCGCTGATAGATCTGTGGGATAAGGTGGTGCAGCTCAGCTTGGGGGCTGATGCCAATGCTTGCTCGATAACGGGGTGTGGGTAGAGTCAAACTTTTGGCTGAAGCCTGAGTCCTAGTCTTCACAAACACAGTGAGGGGGTCTAGCCAGATAAGGAAAAGCCCCAGTCCCAGCAGACAGAAGGCAACCCTGGGGAGGGCCAGCTGTGCCAAGTGAATCAGCTCAGCCAGATTCCTGAAGCTGTCCTCCGGAGTGGCACTAACAGCCCAGTGGAGCCCCAGGCACACAGACAGCAGCGGTAGGATCCAGCGAGCTGTAAACACCGTCCCGCCTGACGAGTTCAGATTACCATAGTGGCAGAGAAAGCATCTTAGCAGATATGTCCACAAGCCAAGGGAAATGACAGCGAGGACATAATGGAGGTTCTTCAGCTGGTTGTCCTGCAACCGGGAAAGAGGGGAAAGAAATGAAGACGGCTGGCAGGAGCCCTGCTCTTCCCGACAGCCGTGGAACGAGAGGGAGAGGTAGAGGCTGCCAACAAGTATTCCTAAGCAGGCTAGAAGGGTGCTGCTTTCCTTCCTCACAGCTGATGGAGACAAAGCTGGGGCAGGCAGCAGCCCAGCAGACTTCAACGGGTCATGGCTTGGGGGCAGAAGTAGGCCATCCCAGTTGAGATGGATGGGAATGCATAGGGCCAGGGATAACACCAAAAATGTCACAACCCGTCCTTCTGCAATCACATAGCTGTCTGAGAGCAGAGAGGCACAACGAAGGAGTGGAAAAAAGAGAGAGGGGACAAGGAGGTGATGCAGGGTCAGCCAGCTAACACGCTTTGGAGCTTTGGTTCCGTTTTTTGACACTGTAGAGGTGCTCAGTTGGCGTGAACGCCAAAGGAAAAGGAGTTCAGAGCTGAAAGCAGCAGCTGCAAGGCACCACATCACCTCAATGTAGCCCCGTATGAGCAGCTGAGCAGCAGCCACACTAACCCCCACTGTCAGTGACACAACAACTGGGGCCTTCAGTAATGGACCGTTCTCCCTGATCAGCACTAGAGACAGTTCAGACAAGATGAAACACATCAGACAAGCAAATGCCAGGATGGCTAAGCCTGCCGCCATCTTCAGTGGGTTAAATCGGGCCCAGGTGGCTCGGCAGGTGTCTCTGACAGAGGTGAGGTAAGCCTGCAGAGAAGAGGCTAGCTGCGGGGAGGGTGAACGACCCTCTCTAACAGTGCTGAGAAACTCAGAAGACAAGAGGGCAAATTCACTCTTCAGCCGAGAGAGGCTCTCTGGTGGGATGTCTTTGGCCATGCCAGAGTAAGTCTCCAGGAAACGGTTGACCTTCAGAAACAAAGATAAAATTAAACACACAAACCATAAAAACAACAACTCC